TATTACAGCGCCACTCTACTCCCCTCCCCCCTCCGAGCGATCCTGCCCCCCACTGTCAATTTTCCTGTTCTTGGGGTCATATCATTGTGGTGGCCATTGAGATGGCTTCTCCTGACGTCGAGATTTCCCTACACAAAATACCCCATCCTGGAGCGGCCAACACATCGGATAGTGAAGTTTTGAAGATCGTCATTAAGCGTCGCGTCTCCTGCATCGGAAGCAAGTTTGGCGTCAAGATACATCTCCTCCTCAATATCTTGACGGTCGCGCGTAGCCCCCCACGGCTTCCCATCCTTACCGTCCGGAACACAGACTCGAATGGAGATGCCATTCCCGGTGTAGTTGGTGAGGAAAGGGAACTGGCCAGAACAGTTGGAAGGAAACTCATCGGCGGCGATGCTCGCACATTCTGATGAAGAGTTCAGCCTCAGCGAGCGCATCCTGAGTCCTCCAGTTGTGCTACCAGACGGCACAGACGAAACCCAGAAAGCGTCTGCAGAGACTGGGACGAAGTTAAAACCTTCACCGGCAACCATCGTTTGGTCCGTCTCGTTGCTCCTCCATAGCTGAGGCTGTATACTGCGGGACTTCAGGGTCCGGAGACGCTCATCCATCACGTCGAGTAGAGGCTGTCGGGGTATCTCCGGAATAGTGCCCGGGTCGATATCAAAGGCGAGAGATCGTGCACCAGTGCTTGACGTGTCTCTAGCAAAGATGCTGGTAAAGCTCTCGCATGAGGGAGTCCATCTTGAGCCCTCATGATCGTTGTCACACACATACGCTGGTCGAGAACCGATTGGAGCGAGATAGGTTCGAAGCGGAAGCTGTATGGCAGCTAGCAGCAGTCAGTACTGAGGCGGCGGATCCCATGATTCGGAACTCGAGACGAACTGATCAAAACAAACAAAGTCGCGATGTACAGGAAGGCCGATCGATCTCCAGCCGCACGATGGAGATGAGTTGGGTCCATTGTGACCCAGTTTCTGTCTGCAAGACCGAGCAACTGACGCATCGTGAGTTTCTGCTTCTTGTTCTTTCGCTCAACATGAGCTGCGGCACCGTAAGCCAAGAGAGCAGACACGAATGGAATCGTGACGACTGCAGCGACTGTGTCGATGACTGGAACAGCCTTGAGCCATGCTTCGTAGACGTTGATGTCTTTCTGACGGACTGTCGACATGCTGTCCGTTGGTGTCTGAGTTGCGACCACACAAATAAGCACCCATGGTGTAACGAGCAGTACGCTGTACCCAATAAGTATGAAGACTGGCTGCCATGGGTAGTGTCGTGGTTGGGCTTGTTGATGATTCGGGTCTGCCTGAACTTTCTTCGTGTCTTCTGTGCTTTGCGCGTGGTCGATCGTTTGCTTCATGATGAAGTGCTAGGGGATACCCTCGAAGCTGGAATTTGTCACATGAGACGGAGACAAGAGAATTCAATCGGAGATCCATGTCAGGGCCGGCACATCGACTCTTCACTTCTAAATTGTTTCTTCCCCCTGCTGCGGTCAGGACGTCTTTGCTTTGATCTGCTTAGAAAAGGGTATGGACTCCCCCAGAGCAAGCGAGGCCGCGGAATGCGTGCGCATGGCGTTGATCGACACCTAGCCTCGTAGGGTGAACCAATCTATGGTCAGGACCAAAATCCCTACCAGGTGCGCTTGCGACACAGTAGCTTAGGTCGCTTGGCAAGGCACACTGGTTGCCCTCACGTGGTCTTTCAGCGAGGCGACTGCCACTGAATCAAATCATGGCTAGACCCGATGCGTGAACGTTGCGTCAATGGCGTACATGCTTCAGCTAGCACAGCACCTCATCATTCTCCCGTTCCTGTGGGGTACCTGTCAATGCCGTAGGTCTCGTTGAGTGAAACTTGCGTCACGACATTGCCGTTCTCCATGCGCACCCAAGTGTCGACGGACAAGGCGCCGCCCTGGTTTGCGCCCTCGGCTTTTGAAATGGTAAGGTGAAGTATTCGTGCGCCGCGATCCCATGTGCCGTAGCCTCCGTAGCCAGTGTGTTTGGCGAAGCAGAGGAATGGCGCCTTGGACGTGGCGTCTTTCCCCGGCCACGTTGAACACCACGAATCTCCGTGATCGTGTCCCACATGAACGCTTTGTAGGCCTTCTGCCTGAAGGAGCGCGTTCACAAACGCCGCATCCTCGCCTTTATTGCCTTGAAACGCCAGCGGCATGTCATCATTCAATCCGGGGAACAAGTCGGCATGTACTCCCGCCTCCTGCGCTTGGGAGAAAATATGAGGCGGTATGTGCACGAAAGCAATGCTGGGGATGACACGATTCTCATACTTTTCCCGAAGCTCCTTGTGCGTCTCGATGAACCACTTTGACGTCTCTGGCGCTACCCAGTCCGGCAGATCTGCGGTGTCCGATGAAGGGTCGTGGTTGAAGGCCTTGCCGCCGCGACTGTCAAAGAACCAGAGAATGGCAGCGGGATCCAGGCCCTCCGGCTCGGCACCTTCTTCCTGGTGAGGATGAATGAGAACGTAGTAGTTCGAACTGCCGGGCAAACGATTGGCAGTGTCTGTGTAGCAGAGACTGTATACCCTTTCCGCCTTGTAGATGGCCTCCCTGGAGAGGTTGAATTGGGAGTCATGGTTGCCATAGACGGAGGCCCAGGGCTTGTTGCTCTGAAGCATCGGCCGGATGATCTGCTCGACATAGTCTGACGCGTTCTCGCGCAGCGTATTTTCGCCGGTAATCAGATCGCCGTTCAGGACAACAAAGTCAACCTTCTCGTCGCGCAGGACCGAGCTCATGACGCGCGTCGTGTTTTGGTCCTGCTCGATGCCCCAGCCGTCCTCCTGTTCCCCATAATGAAGGTCAGAGAAGATGGCGATGCGGAAGTCGCCGTCTTTGTTGAGCTGCAGATTGGCTTTCGAAGCAGAGGGCTCTCGCAACGCTGCGTGGCCAGGCGAGGTGTTGACGACGAGGATGACGAGGATGGAGAAGATGATGATAAAGACGATGATGGCACGGGCCATTCGCCAGAGGAGCGCCCGGCCGGACAGGGGCGGAAGGTCCGTCATCGCTGGCGGTGGCTTGCGATGGATCGGTAAAGAATGTCAGAAGATGATGTGGCAGGCGTCATTGCCTTCTGTGTCTGTTGATGAGAGATGGGACACCTTGTGTGTGAGTGAGGCGCGACGCCGATTGAAGTCTGCATGTCACCTCGATAGATGGACGTTGAACGTGGCCAAACAGGGACTGTCTCAGACTTTCCTGGGTGCCCGATTTGAGCGGGTCGAGCTCCTGGTGGTCATGGCGTGCGTAGGTCTGTCAAATCCCGAGCTATGGAAGAAAGGTGCGAGTTTGGATAGAATGGCGACTGTCAGCGCAATGATGTCTTTTCGATAGCGAAGATGCTATTGATGAAGACGGATGGATTGCTGAGGCATGGTTGAGGACGATGACTGGCGTTGTGGTGGAAGGAGGGAGGTG